CTTTAAATGATTTGATGCTGAGGCTGCAAATAGTTGAAATATTTTGAGACAGTAATGAGCTGCTTAGCAGTCAATAACAGATCAAGTTACATAACCGTGAAGTAAATACCTGAAGTGAAATAAAACCGGAAGTTCATTGAAACAGGAAGTGACGTCATTTAATTGTAGTAATAAAAGTTTAATGATGATTATGCATGCATTATTTTTAATTTATTACCTCTGATTTAATTTCCTTAGCCTACATCTCATCATTCATGGCTTCAATACTGTCCAGTGAATGGTATCTTAGTACAACATCTGACACGGAAACACAACATGATTAACAAAAATGATAATAACAATAATTATCAGTTATGAGAATAATGATGAAGAGACGTTTATTATTATTATTATTATTTACTATAATTACTATTTTGCGTTTTGTTATTATTACTCTATTATTATTTTTAATTATTATTATTAAACTGTCATTTCATTGGGTTTCTCTGGTAACTCAAATTCTAAAAAGAGAGAGAGAAGGAGAAAGAGAGAGAGGGAGAGAGAGAGAGGGAGAGAGAGAGAGAGGGGGAGAGAGAGAGAGAGAGAGGGAGAGAGAGAGAGGGAGAGAGAGAGAGGGAGAGGGGGAGAGAGAGAGAGAGGGAGGGAGAGAGAAAAGTAACTCAATAGAGACAATACTACACAATGTACCTTGAGATCCTGTTGCCTGTGATGAAGTTGTTGATGAAGATCCTTCAGAGTCACGTGAGGGGGACATACGATCACGTGGCAATTGGCCAATGGGTAACAGGACGGGGGAAGTGGGACGAATAGGAAGGAACTCATTCGAAGGGACTCTCTTTTTCATTTTAATTTTCTTACTAATCCGACGTACTATCTTGCCATGAGCTTGAGGCTAAAGAATAACAGACAAATGAATTTAATTTTAATTATATTTCTCTCTCTATTACCTCTGAGGAGGAGCGTGAAGTTCCTTCGGATAACAATGATGAGAACTCCAGCTTTAACAATCGTCTTAACTAATGAAAATTATTTTATAAAGCAACTGCATGACAATCATTAATAATGCAGAATTATTCTATAGGTATAATGTGAACCAGCACCAATTATAAATGATTATATCTATGTCTTGTTTTTAATTTTTTTAGTAAATCTTTTCTAATAGATATTTTGTTTCAAAACTTGGCCCAAGACAATGGACTATACATAGTGGATTGTTGCTCTTACCTCTTGGTTTGATGGCGATACCTTCAGAGCCAGTGAGAGACTGTCAATATCAAAGTCGTGATCTAATGCCAAAACTCCTCCGTGAATCCCAGACTCAAATAGGTTGTGGGCGTGGTCTTTCAATCCAATTGACTCGGCCCACTTGATGACGTGACTGTTTGTCCAAAATACAACATCTAAAAATGAATAAAAACGCATAATTCTCTTCATTAAAAATCCAAATTTGGCCGGAATCAGCTCAAACTTTCTTCACAACATAAGTACATGTATATGCATCAGAAGAAATTACAAAATGGAGAATTCTCTTTTGACAAAATTTGGCCTGAGAGTGCAGGCCCAATTTTAAAGCATTTTTAAAATTCAAAAATTAATTATCATTAAAAAAATTATAATACAATGTATTATTACCTCTATGAAGTGCAAGATTTGAAAAGTGAAACTCAAGCTCCTAAAGTGTACGATAAAAATAAAATTAAACATGATATCATATTACATCACATGACATCACACCAGAACCAACCTGACGATTATAGTTAAGTCTCTTGAGAACACTGATGCCATACTGGAGGCTGTTCCGATGCGAAGAGTCTAAAACCTTTAAGACCATCCGTAAATCCTTCTTTGTGAGATGCTCAAGCATTCGTGCATCAATCAAACACACTCGAAATATATCCTAAAAATGAGGCGTGGCACTAGTTAATTAATAATTGGTCCGATAAACTGACTGAGTATTGTGGGAGACCAATGCTTGGGAGCCAGTAGTCACTGATCCAATGATGATTCATAGCACCGTAATACGGGACCTGTAGGGATTGGACACAGAGAGAGACAAAAATAGGTCAATATAATTATGGCAAAAAGATATGAATTTAAGGGAGATGATGACACAAAGTATACAAGATTATTTATTGGCAAGAGTAAATGTAATTGCATTGGCAAATTTGTTAGCAGAAAGTAATTGGTGAATTTTATATGGCGATTTCTTTACAGAACTGCCAATTGTCAATACTAATTTTCTAGCCAATAAATTATTTCATTTTGACACAGAAATTTACATGTGAAAAAAAGAGAGAGGAAGGAGAAAGAGAGAGTGGATAGTATATTTACTGATTGTTGTGGTAGCGATGATGTTATGGTAATGATTTCTTGAATGGCTAGTCTCAGTTTTAATCTGTGCATACTGTTGGTTATGCCCAGCATCTGACTTAACTCGACTTCTGTCAACGACTGAAAAAAATAAGAAAAGAAATAAACTTAAGGAATCAAAACAAGCTATTTTTAAATAATGCTTTTAAAGAAATAAGTGGCAGACTTTTTTAAGCCCCAAGGCCCACAATCACCATTATTATTGCTCTTTTATTATAAAGAATTGCATGTTTGTGTGTGTGTGTGTGTGTAGTACCTCCATCATCTCTCCTGACTTTACACTGCTTTTCAAAGCTGATATATACCAAGAAGGTACAACCACCCAAGCCTATTAACAATAGAAAGACCAATAGCACTGTACATGAATGCACATACACAAGTACATGTATACACATAAAGGAGGAGGAAGGGGCTTACCTCCAACCAAGCCATCACTAGTTCTTTAGTCCACGTATAAAAGGATACACTTGAATTGATTGCTGTCTGTACCATTTCTCTCCTAAAACAAACAGGAGCTATCATAAACACTTAATGAGCATAACATCTTACTAAAAATGTCCTTAATAACTGATAATGTACAAAAATTTGTGGTGATTTTGAAGCCATTTTTTGGGATAAAAACCATGGGCTATAGCCTTTGCTTTAAAAAAAAATTGGCCTGTTTTTTAAATTGCTCATAACTCGAAAAATATTTGTCGTAATTGGCTCAAACTTCATACATAGCATAAAGACATCAATGTGTATCAGAAAATGTAATTAAAATTGGAGATGATTTCGGAGCCATTTTTTAGAAAAAACCATATGGGCTATAGCCTTGGGTATTTTTCAGAATTTTGACGTTTTCTTAAAATGGCCGTAACTTGAAAAATTGAAGTCAGAATCACCTCAAACTTTCTACACAGCATAAGTACATCAATATGTATCAGAAAATGTAATAAAAATTTGGCGTAATTTCGGAGCCATTTTTTGAAAAAAACCATGGACTATAGCCTTGGATATTTTTCAGAATTTTGGCATTTTCTTAAAATGGCCATAACTTGAAAAATTGAAGTCGGAATCAGCCCAAACTTTCTGCATAGCATAAGGACATCAATGTGTATCAGAAAATGTAATAAAAATTGGAGGTGATTTCGGAGCCATTTTTTGGAAAAAACCATGGGCTATAGCCTTGGGTATTTTTCAGATTTTTGAGGTTTTCTTAAAATGTCCATAACTTGAAAAATTGAAGTCAGAATGAGCTCAAACTTTCTACACAGCATTAGTACATCAATATATATCAGAAAATGTAATAAAAATTTGGCGTGATTTCGAGGCCATTTTTTGGAAAAAAACCATGGGCTATAGCCTTGGTTGTTTTTCAAAATTTTGGCATTTTCTTAAAATGGCCATAACTTGAAAAATTGAAGTCAGAATCAGCTCAAACTTTCTACACAGCATAAGTACATCAATATGTATCAAAAAATGTAATAAAAATTTGGCATGATTTCAGAGCCATTTTTTGGAAAAAACCATGGGCTATAGCCTTGGTTGTTTTTCAAAAATTGGCTCATTTAAAAAAAAATGCTGATACATATAACTTGTCAGAATCAGCTCAAACTTTCTACACAACATAAGTACATGCATATGTTGTATCAAAAAAATCATAAAAATAAAGAATTCTCTCCTATTCATTTTTCGCAAAATTTGGCCAAAGACTCTGTACTATTTCATAAAAAATCCAATACATGTACATGTACTGTACATGCATACAACATACACATGTACATGCATGTACATTGTATATGCGCTACTAATCTACTACACTAATATAAATTAAATCAAAATGTTGCTAAAATAACATTACTTTGTCTTTAATTGTTCGCTGGTCAATAAAGACGGCTCTTCATTATATATGACCACATCAGAGAGATCAAATGACATCCTTGCCTGCTGGACACCAGCAGATGATGGAGCAGGAGTAACTGGAGACAGCGAACCTTAATTACAAAACAAAGATCAATCATAATTAGGAGAAATGACAATTACTACACAGCATATACATGTACATGTGCATGTACATGTACATGTACATGCACATGTACATGTACATGAGTGCTACACTGTTAGATCTAGAAATAGACCAATCTAACTAAAATGGAAAACTTAAGAATACCTAAGCTAAATCTGTACATGGAGGATTTAAATATGGCTAAATAGGCATAGGGTAAATATGAATAGGCCTGCTAGATTTACATGTACAATGTACATGTTTATGCAGCACTGTGTGGTCGTGAGTGTTAATCAAGTGTGGCTGAAACAGCTGTAAAGTGTTAATTCGCTAACCAACTGGAGCGCTGTTACGCTTGTCTTGTTTCTGCTTCCCTCCTAAGCTGCTGCTTGAGGACTTGCGACGGAAAACCTTCTTCATTGAAGAGCTCAAAGCCTTCCCTGTGGCTCGGGATAAGGAATTAGGCTTCGACTTTGGACTATGAAAAAAGAAAAAAGAAGGGGAGAAATATTAAACACATACAATGTACATAATACAATGTTTATAATGCAATAAAAACACTTTAATGATTACAATGTGTAGTACTAAGTATACCTTCCGTCTTCATTTGATCTTGATCTTAGTTTCATTCTAATTGGAGATGGTGGGGGAGGAGATCCAGGCTATGAAAAATATTAATAATCATTTTGAATATAGAGGGGTGTGGTTTAAGGCGTGGCTTACAGGAGGAGCAGATTCTGCAGTGTGAGATGAGCCTGAAGTGAGGTACTGTATTTCATAAGAACTGTCTTCTTCATCTTCCTCGTCTTGGACCTCACCATCCATGTGCCTGTAATAGAAATACATAATTATTATAATAAAAATAATAACATTTAAAATTGTATTATTTAAATCAAAAAATTAAAGCAACAAAACACTTAAATTTTAAAGTAATAATAATAATAATAATAAATAAATAAAACTTTCATTACACTTAATCATTATGCGCATTGTAATTTTTTACTGTAAGGCGCCTTTTTTCAAGGGCTGTAAATTTCGCGATTTTTCTTTAAATTTGCGAAAATTGCTTCAGCAAAAATCAAATTAATATGGTACAAGATGGCAGACGGGCATAAATTCGCGAAAATTAAATCCGTAAAATAAAAATCTGTGAAACCTATAGCCTCCGAAAAAAAAGGTGCCTACGGTATTAAATAAACCCCAGCCACTAACAAGGAAAGAAAACACACACACAGAGCCAGTCCTTACTCTAACTCCTGATCCAGTAAGGTCACTTGTCCTTCAAGAATCGACATGAGTCTAGACACTGCCCCAGGCTCCGAGAAATCCCAGCCACTTCTATCCCCGCTTGACTCAGACATGGAGCTATTAACAGAAGATGACTGATTGGCTGATTTGGTAGGCGTGGCCTCAGTCGATGACGGGATACCATCGGACGCTCGTTTCCACTTGGCCTGATCTAAATCGGTAGCTTTACCAGTTCTCAGTACGACCGAGGATTGCTGTATGTCATTCACTCTTTGCTGTGCTTGCTGGAGCTCACGTCTCAGTTTAGCAATTTGCTGTAAGAGGGAGACATTGTCCTTTTGACAGGTGGAGAGTTCAGACTTTAGACCTGCCATCTCTTCTGACATAGAATTCTAAGAGTTAAGAATTATAAAGAGTGAGACAGTGAGTGAGGAAACAGACACAGAGGAGTAATACAAGTGTAACCCTTTACTATAAACCAATCACACACACACACATGTACATGTACATGCACATACATATAATACAGTAATATAAGACAGTATAGAGCTATGGTGATAATGGCAATACATTATTCTTACATGCACATGTGTATTATTATTATTATTCATTAATGCTCATAGTAAATATGTGGCTTCTATACCTTCTCATCTATCAGTGCTTTCTTTTCCACTACGTGTGCTTTGAGTCTTGTGCTTGATTCCTTTAGCATTCGCTCTACAGTTGCTTGAAGCTTCTCTATGTGCTCATCATTCACCTTCTCCTTCTCTTGTAGCTAAAGAGAGAGAAGGAAAGAGTGAGGGTTAGAAGAAGGGGCAAGGGGAGAGAGAGAGGGGGAGAGAGAGAGAGGGGGAGAGAGAGAGAGGGGGAGAGAGAGAGAGAGAGAGAGAGAGAGAGAGAGAGAGAGAGAGAGAGAGAGAGAGAGAGAGAGAGAGAGACTCACTGCTAGCAGTTCTTGTGTCTTGCTTTCAAGTGATGACTCTAAGCTCAGTATCTTACTACTGTCCTTCTTTTGTTCAGCCTGTGAGTTGGGCATTAATAAGAACAGAATAATACAATAAAAAGACTGAGGATAGACTCAACACGGAGTCACACCCAACACACAGTATTCAAAATTACTAATGACACACACAAATAAAGGATGAGAGATTTAATCAACAATCAATGTACAATACAATACACACACAAAGGCAGAAAGGCTAATATTCCACTACTAGACAACAGTACTGATATACCATACATGTATATGTAAATGCAGACTTTAAAGGGATAAAATAAGCTTAGGCGTGTACAAACAATAGTATAGATTACATTAATTTTTGGCTGTGATTTCTCAATAATAACTCTTACTTCAGTTAATTCCAGGAATTGCTGTCTGAGTTGTTCTTCGGTCATTGATCTTGCCTCCTGCAGTGAGTCCTCTTTCTGTTTCAATAATGCTTTGGAGTCTTCCTGTTGCTGCAAGATCAATAAGAAGAAATGAGCATAAGGTCATTCTATATCATATGAATCTTTCCGTCACTCTTATAACTCCCTTAAAATAAATGTACATGTGTACACTCTCCCTTCTTCATCTCTCTCTCTCTCTCCTCCCCTCCCCCCTCTCCCTCCCTCCCCCTCCCACCTCTCTCTCTCCCTCTCTCTCTCTACCTGTTGAAGTTGTCCCTGTATTACGGTGAGTCGATTTTGTAGCTGCTCATTCTCTGAGCGAGAGTGTTCCAGCTCTTCTTTACAATTGCACAGCTCCTCCTGCAAAAGGGACACCATTTCCTGCTGAACAGCATTCTGAAGAATTGAGGAGAAGAACAATTGAATTCCAATAGATTAATTTGATAACAATTATTTTATAATTAGCTGCCAGTCAGTAATCACTTTAACTGAAGCCAAGCCCAAGCAATGTACAAACAGCATAAACAATAAATAAAACAACAATTATTAATAATGAATAATAAAAAATAATAATGAATAATAATGAATTGCTGATGAATAATAATGAATTGCTGATGAATAATAATGAATAATAATAAATTATACTTATGAATAATAATAAGCATGGTGCATCACTGAATGTACTGTCTATAACTTCTGCCAAAAATGATTATTGTTTAAAATATTACCAAACAATGTCTGCTGACACAAAACACATATACATGCTTATACGTGTTACATGCACATACAATGTAGAAGCAATTACATTGTGTATACACCAGTACATGGAAGTGATGGAACAATTATATAACAAGAAAGAGAGAAAAAGGTCACATGTGCATGTATATGTACATGCACATGTACATGTAATTCAGAGCGTAATTCTTACCTTCTGAGCCTTTTCCAGTTCACCTTTAGTGACATGAAGATCCCTCAGTGCAATCTCAAGATCATCCTCTGCCTCTTGTACCCTCTGGGTTAACTCATCTCTCAATTGAAACGCCTAAAGACAAAGAGGAAAGAATAAAGAGGAAAGAAAACAGCTTATTCACAACAATCAATAATAGTACATGTACTATTGATGTAATGTGATAAATAATCACATTCATCATAGCCAAACCACACACATACACATAGTGTCACATGCTTGTACATTATATTTAATTTCAAGCTTGGTAATATAATTTAAGAAATAAGTCACCCCAATCCAAGCAATAATGAATTCATTATTATGTGTGCGTTGCTGATATAGCAATAATTAGAGTGTGACAGGTAGTGCTGGTAGTAATTGTCAAGCTTTTCACAAGCAAGCTGTTCACAATATGTGACAATGAACAACCAATGATGAGCAAATGGCTTTGATTGTTAATAGAGAAAGAGAAAGGGATGGGGAATAAAAGATTAAAAGATAGAACAAACCCAATACACTACCGTAAAACCTCTCGTTTAAAAGACTCTAAAGCAAGCACCTACATCTATCGAATTGTACCAATTACATTCTTTACTGTATAAAATCACTTCGCATAAAGGACACTTCTTATAACAGACCAACTTCCTTGTCTCAAATTGCCCATTATAATAAAGGTTACTCTGTATTACAATGCCTTACTTCTTCAAGTTCTGCTGCCTTCTCATCAAGTGAGAACTGAAGATCAGAGAGTGCTTGATCTTTCTCGTGTAGTAAACTCAATTGCTCTTGAGTGAAACCAACTGAGTCATAGTCTCTACTCATTCTGTAGGAGTCTCTCTGAGCTATCAGCCTTTTCATTCGTCTTGTCTCTTCTTGCAATGCCTTTATCTGTATCATAAAATATTTTAAAAATTTATGAATTAGGTCATTTTTAATGTCAATAATTACATTTATGACCACTACATGAATGTGGGCATGCGTGCATGCCTACCTCTTGATTGGCTAATACAAGTTCCTCGTCAAGGATCGAGTTTTTCTCATTCGCACTTCTGAGCCTTTCCCGAACCTAAGGAGGAGGAAGAGGAGTTAGTCTAATCATATCTTAATCTCTCTCTCCTTCTCCCTCTATCTCTGTCCTTCTCCCCCCTCTCTCTCTGTCCTTCTTCCCCCACTCTCTCCCCCCTCTCTCTCTCCCCCTCTCTCCTTCTCCCTCATATTCTCTTCACTTTCATTCCTCTTCATCGCGCTTACCTTTTCATCCAGAGCCTTATGATGATCAAAGAGGCTCTTCAAAGCTTTCAATACCTCAACTTCAGAGGAGACACCAGTATTAGCAGTCTGCCTCTTAAGTACTGTTACCCTCAAGGACTTCTCGTGACGAGCAACAAGACACTCCAAATGCTCAAGGAGGAGCTTCATGTTTGCTCTCTCGGCCTTTAATTCCTGAACCTCTTCCTCTTTTGCAAATATTGCCTCTTTGGCAGACGAGAGGTCTCTAGCTAGTGATGCTATCTCATTTGCTATCGGCCATTTTTGTATTTCTTCCATTCGCCCGTTGGTAAGTGTGCCGTTGGTTTTAACCTCCTCAAGCATTAGGTGAAGTTTCTCTTGATCCTAAAAATAGGAACAGGAAAGAGAGAGGAAAAAGAAGAGAGAGAGACATTAAAAAGGAAATGTTATTTTATTGTGTCTCGTTTGATCATGGAAAAAGCAAGGATCATTAGTCATGATTTTGGTAAAGGACAAATCTCCCAGCAATTAAAATACTCTAATGATACGCTTAACCCACCTCTTCCCTTGACAGGAGAGCCTGTAGCTGCCTTAGAAGGATGGCATTATCTGTTTCTATTTGGGAGAGGCGATGTGACATGGTCTGGTATGCTTCCTGTGTCTCCCTTAGTTTATCCATTAACTTCTCTCTCTCCTAGAAAAGAGAGAGAGAGGAAGAGAGAGAGAGAGGGAGAGAGAGAGAGAGGAAGAGAGAAAGAGAAAGAGAGAGGAAGAGAGAGAGAGAGGAAGAGAGAGAGAGAGGAAGAGAGAGAGAGAGGAAGAGAGAGAGAGAGAGGAAGAGAGAGAGAGGAAGAGAGAGAGAGAGAGAGGAGAGAGAGATGCAATAGAGGATGACACAAGAAGTAAGAGGGTCTGTTACTTCAAGCATTGATATCATGAGTTGTTCTAATCGAGCGCTCTCCTCCTCTGGGCTAGGACTAGCCTCATCAATAGTTGGGAGTACCTCGCACATTCTGACACTTACCTACTACCGCCTGTAATATAGAGCCATAAATATCAATGAATACCAAGTACAATAATGACCATCATACTTAAGGACACATGCAGGGAGTAGTAGACCTACCTATAATATAATCCTATTAAAAATCTTAGACTTAGTCTCAGGGGTTTAATTTAAAGTCGAGTCCACTCATGCTATAAGAGAGAAGCCGTCTATTACCAATCCTTAGCTGCCCTGTCTCCCTCTCCTCTGTTCAATATAGTGATTCCTTTTACACTAGCACTGATGACTCGTATAGTATCTCATTCCTAAAGAGAGTGGGCCATTCCGGTAGGAGGAGGAATGGGAGGGGTTGTGGGTGTAACTAATAGCCAAATAGGCGTGGTCTTTCTCACGTGAGAATTGCGTGATTCAATTCAGTGTCTTTCCCTGTTTCCCATCTCTTTCTCTTCTTCTCTTTCTTTCCAGTGCCTCTTCTAGGAATAGTACAGTCTCCTCTATTGACTATAATGGCCACTGGAGGTGGATCAGATAATAATGATAGGCCCAGGATGTGGCGTAAGAGAGAGCACGAGCATCTAATTGATGATGGTGCTAGTGAACGCTCTCTCCGTCCTAGATCTACTAAAGCACCAAGAAGGAGGACATCAGAGCCTTCAGCGTACGTGTATAAACGTGTATTATAATTTTTGGGGCTGTGGGCTTGGTTGGATCAATATTAGGTTCCAATGTACGCGTACAGAGGTCTACTCCAATGTGGTATGTGGTAAGTACTGCAGACACCTGTTGGTGTTCAGTACTGTTTATCCTATTGTCCCTTGTGACACATTAATGCTTATTGGTGGCAATGAGGCCTGTCTGTGTGCTTGCGTCCCAAGTTTTAATGGAAGTTGAGCATTTTAAATCAATTTAAAGGGATAATTACACGAAGCCAGTTTCACTTTTATAATAATTTATTATTTTTATTCTAGAGTTGGAGCGCGTACATGTACATGGTAGTTTACATTGCAAACTCTTACTTTTTAAAACCTGTTCAATTTATTTCATTTCCATCATTGTGCAGCATGTCATGCCTGTATTATGTATACAGTTGCTCCTCCTGGATTTTGTGCAGTGATTTACAATTTTTCTACTTGCCAATCTTCAATAGCAAATTACACCTGCTGGCCCTCCTATACGTAGCCTACATTAGCTGCCTGCTTCATCCACCCATGATGCCACACATTGCTTCAGCTTATGCACATGTTCATGAATCAATATAAATCATGGGGAAATGTATGTACATATACAAAATGTATAATGCTCTTACTGTTATTATTATTATAAAAATGCTATTATTATTATTATTATCATTATTATTAATATTATTATTATTATTATTATTTCCCTCTGCAGTAGGCCTCCTACCCCTCGGCCAGTTGATCCTCCTGTAATTGATCTTACGGTACCTTCACTTGAGACTATTAGAATTGACGTCAATCTCCATCAGCCTCCCTCCTCTCCCCCTCCTCCTCCCTCCTCCTCCTCCTCAACCGCTCGTCTAGTTCCAACATCTAATCCCTATACCTCAAGCCACACCTTTTATAGACACCACGGACATTTCGTAAGACCTAGGCCCTATAATCTGAGGCCACGCCCACAGCAGACCCCATCTGCCCCGCCTAGTACAACCACACCCACTACTTCTGCTCCAGAGGCTCCTCTTGTCCTTGATAGCGATTCTGAGGATGATCTGGTAAGTGGGTATTGGAGGTGTAGTTTTATTAATACTTAATAACTATTAGGACGATGTCATCATTCTAAATGAGACTCCACCAAGGTGGCAGGTAAGAGAGAGAGTTTGAGATATAAAATTAATGTCACTTTTTCTACTCTAGAGCTTGTTTGAGGACTCAGTTGTTCCCGAAGTAAGTTTTACATGTACATGTGTTTTGTATGTGAATGATTATAGCATGAGCAATTATGAATATTATGTGGTGTATTTATGCCTGAATCACAGCCCTGTGTGTGTGTGTATGTGTACATGCATTAACGTCACCACTGTCTAATAGAATCTTGAGTTTTTTGAGCCGGAAACGTTTGGCACTACCGTATCAGTAAGAAGCATTGAGAGGCAAATGGAAGAAGGTGTTGCTCCTCCATCGTAAGATCATCCCCTAGCTACTTCCCTCCAGCATTCATATCTCTTTCTTTTCTTTTAAATGTTATTTTCCTGTAGGTTCTCAGCTTTTGAGGGTCCTTTTCAACGGGACTTCATGCAGAGCTTCCTCACCGTCTCCTTTCCTCATGTAACAGGTCATTACGATGGAAACTTCACTCGCCACTTTATTGAGCATCACATGACACAGCTTCAACCAATGCAAGTCATTAGCTATATAATGGGAACTACCGGTGCTACTTTTGGCGGAACCATGGGATCTTATGAAGTAACTAGTATCAGATTCACTATTCTCTAGTCTCTCATTGTTTCATTTCCTTAGGATTGGTTAGATTTAGCAGAGAGGCTTGGCCCAGGGAGGCCATTGGGATTACCAGATGATGGTTAGTGGGAAAGTGAAGTGGTTTTGTTGTTTATGATGTTTTGTAGCCATTGATGCTCTTCCTGTAAGGACTCATCTTTCAAGTGAGTCTTCAGATCCAGCAAAGACAAAGTAAGAATAGCTATCATAATAATTATACAGCTGCTATTGTAGCCCTTTTGAAATATTTAATTAGTGTACTCATCTCTCTCTCTCTCTCTCCATTAGTTGTGTAATCTGTATGATGGATTATGAAGATCAAGACACTATTAAAATACTTCCCTGCTCTCATGAGTATCATTCGGCTTGCATTAGCCCATGGCTAAAGGTATGCTTATCAATTCAATAGTGAATAGTGCACAGTATTGTGTTACGTGTAAATTGAACAGGATGTAACGTGTTTTCGTTTTTTTTCTTTTACTTCCCATTCCTCTTGTGTAGCAACAAAGAACTTGTCCTATCTGTAGAAATGAGCTAACTGTGTAAGAACTTGTACCATTATACTTATAATTGTTATTGTTATTGTTAATTTAAAAATCATCAACTCAGTATACTCAACACTAAAAATAGTAACATTATAAAATGGTGTAATAAAACTTTAGTACCACAATATAGGCATATTATAATAAAAATAATAAAAGGATTATCTCTACATTCTAGTTGCCCCAGTGCGACTAGGTTTAATATTTAGCTGAAACACTAAAGAGTCATTACATATAGCAGGTCCAGTTTCAATTGTACTCTGAGCACAGAAGAGGTCAATGTAGCCAAATGCCAGCCCGTGCTCTCCTATTGGCTTGTTTATCTTATGTAGCAAGTGTACTAATACTCTTATCCTTTCTTGTACTATGAATGGACCTGGGTTTAAGTCAGAGCCCTTTCTCCCACGCCCTTTTACTGGCTCGCCCGTGTCTTGTTTCATGAGTGTGGCATAGACCTCGTCCTCAAAATGCAGTGGCCATTGTAGCTCATCATCGTAGTGACCCGACACCAGGTGGAGGCAAATGGATAAATGGGTGGACTGGCCATCACCGTGGCCATTAGGATGTATGACAACTGCCATTTGATAGCCGTTGTGTACAACGAATGGCATACTCTGAAACGTTGTCTCGGCTCTTTTAAGATGAGAGAAGTTGGGCATTCGGAATGTTATCGGAGGCCCATTTGGGACTAGTTTGTGTAGCATGGGGTTCGTGAGGTAGTTTAGTTGATCTTTCAAGCAAGAGAGAGAGAGAGTTTTAACCTTAGAGTTGTGAGGCTGCTCAGAAACGTAAACAAGTTCTTGTGCTATTGACGAAGAGAGGACCATATTCTTTTCTTTTACCACTTCCAGCTCTGTCTTAGCAGCTGTGTAGACTTTCTGTAGCCCATCAATCTCTTTGCTTTGCCTCTCTCTCTCTTCATTTGCTATTCGTAACTGATCCTGTAAGGCTTTAATGTCACGTCTCACAGAAGTAACAGCAGAAACGGAATGCATGACTTGCCTGCTCTCCAAATGCTCTTGTAGCTGGGACCTTTTCAGTGACTTCACGTCACACCCGACCTCCTCAAACGGACACCTAACCAGCTCCAAAGGACAAGATGAACGATGCTGGACCATGTCGACTCTTTTGACTACTTCAGAGCAACCATTAGGGCATGGATAGGAATATTCAGGGCAGGCCCTCGAGAGATGGTTCTCTATCCCAGTCGAAGGGACAAGCACATTGCAATACTCACACTCGACCCAAGTCACATTGCACTTGGCCTTTAGGTGATCCCTGAGGTCTCCTCGCTCTATAACTGCCCCACAATTCTTTGGACAACTTACCAGGACAAACGGGCAGCCATCCTCCCCATCTTCATCAAGATGGTCAGCATGTTGGAGGATAGAGCCAGACCAGATGCATCCTTTGGCCCTATTCTTACAAGCAACCATGGTCTCCCTCATTCTCTTTTGCAGTCGACGGTCTTGGACATAGGAAACGTTAGTGGCCTCGCATTCCGGGCAGGATCTATCATTGATAGGGCTCTCTATGCACTTCTTACAAAAGTTTGCCCCGCAACAGCCCGTGTATACAGGATTGGAGAGAAGCTCCTCGCACAGACCACAGACAAAATCATCCATGTTTGAGTCTATCTCTTCTTTCTTAGCTTCTTTCCCCTCCATTGATTTTGACAAGCTGAGCTAGCCCACCTCGTAAATTTTTTAATAAATGCGAAATAGCATTGTTTTATTAAATGGACCACGCCCTATAAGTCTTCCCCATCATTTTCTTCCCATCTTTCCATTGCTGTTTCTAAACCAGTATCATCTCTCAGTATTGACCAGTTGGGCTGCTCCATCTCATTCTATATCATAAACGTATTGTTAGGCTGGCATTTCTTCTGTATACCTTTTTCTTTTTGCTTTGCTTATCAATTCCTTTCGTCTTGCTGAAGCGTGATTTATGATTACTTTTAAGCATTTCAAGGAACTGGGTTTTATCAACTGATGACAAAACTATAAAATATATAAGTGATATAACTATATAGCTTTAAATGTCAGAAACCTTTTTCTCGTTTTGCTTCAGACGAGCCAACTGCTTCTAGCTGAGTCTGCAACTCCTTCTGCTGCTTATTGACAGCATTAAACAACTGTACGACTGAAAAAGAATTAACATGGTCACATAAAGCAAAATAAATGCATTAATATAAACACGGAGACACGAGAGAGTAACATGTACATAATTCCACAAATCATAGTACTATGTAGTACTCATAATCCTCTGATAATGATAAAATGAGTGAGTGATTGCCAAGACTGCATAAAAACCACAAACAACGGATAATAAAAGCAAATATTTTTAATCGTAGAAAATTCAAGTCAGTTTCAATTTACAAATGCAAATACATTAAAACTTGCTTTTTAGCAAAAAATGGCACCACCAATTTTTCTGATACATATTGGTCTTTACACTAAGTACAAAATTTGAGCCAATTCCAAGCATTAAAAAATTTCAACTATGGCTTTTGACTTTAAAAACACCCAATTTTCATTAATTAATATCACTGAGCTTAGATACATGCAAATTTAAGTTGATATTTTTTGAATTGTTTTACATAAAGCACAACTACTAGTACCTCAATAAACTTGTACACACAAAGAGTATTTTAAAAGCAATTAATTAATTCTACAATCAGGAGCATACCTCCACGCATTGCCACTTGCTTTAATGTCTTCTCGTACGCCCAAAGAGAAGAGCTAGGAAGCACATGTACACCATTAACTACATCTTTACTCTCTTTACGGCTGACCTATTGCATTAGATGTACCATAATGAATTGTAATGTCTATATATATACTTCTTGTCTCCCTGTTTTCTTTGAACTGATAGAGCTTTGGCTCTCTTCTCTCTTTCTTTTTCGGCTCACTCTTTCTTCTGGCTATTATCAAGAAGGTGAGCATATTTTTAAAAACTTATCTTACTTGACTTCCTAGCAAAGAAGCTAGAACAGTCGCCATTCTATCTTCCTTATTGTCCGCCATGCTGTTACACGTGATTAATTTAACATTAATAACTTTTGTAGTTACCTTTTGGCGGGGAAAACTGCCCTATTTTAGGCGGCAATAGGCGCTCTGAGTCTGAGTCGAGCTCTGAGTTCTAGATCTGTGTTTTCATGACAATGTTGTCTGTTGCTGCTTCTGCATTAGAAAACAAGCTTGGCACAAAGACAGAGTCAGTGTCTTCTGGAGTCTTGCCTTCACCAGTTACCACGAACCATGACGAGTGTCAATATTTGGATCTCTGTAGGAGAATACTAGAAACAGGAAAGGTGAAGGAAGACAGGACAGGAGTAGGCACTAAGAGTATATTTGGAGCTCAAATGAGGTCTGAACTGAATTGAAAAATGAAAATTTATAATTAAAAAATTAATTATTTTTCTAATAATTATTATTTTAATTAATTATTCAGCCCCTCCCCTTTTCTTTTTATTTCATTTTAGGTTTGATTTGCGTGACCAGTTCCCACTGCTAACTACAAAGAGAGTGTTCTGGAGAGGTGTGGCTGAGGAGCTCCTTTGGTTCATCTCGGGATGCACTAATGCCAAGAAACTGCAAGAAAAGAACATCCATATTTGGGACGCTAATGGATCAAAAGACTTTCTTCACAAACAAGGACTTGGTCATCGTGAAGAAGGTATGTACATGCACTCGTGGAGGGTTTCCCATGGTATAGTGCTCACTGAATTGGATTTTTTATTAATTTTTAAAGTTTGCTTCAAAAATTAGGCCAAAGGGCAAAGACGATTATATAGTACAGGGTATTTTGTCAAAACTGGCTCCAGGAGAATTTTTCATTTTTATAATTTTTTCCGATACATATACAAGTTTTTATGTTGTGTAGCAACTAGCAAGTTTGAGTTGATTACAACCAAAATTGACTTTTTTACGGGTTTTAAAAGTTGTTAAAAATCAGCCCAAAGTCCCTGTACTATAGCACATGTACATGGTCCTGGGCCAAGAAGCTGAGCACTTTACCGTGGGAAACCCTGTGCACATGTATTTGTAGTTTGTACATGTATCCCTCCCATATCCTCATGTTTTGAGATTCTTTGTATACTAATTATTATTTGTTCCTTGATGACCTGATATTTCAGGAATTCATAATCTAACTACATGTAGCAATTATTACTGATTAATGAGATTTTTCCCTCGTAATGTCTTTAATGAGGAAGACGTTAGATGTCACATGTCATTCATACCTTCACTTCAATCCAACTCTAACATTGAGTATTGATATTCCCTTAAGAGATGCTTTCCTTCAACAAACACACACAATTGACTCACTACAGAGAGAGATTAGCATGAATATGAAATTAAGTGGGAGAAAGAGAGAGAGAGAGAGAGAGAGAGAGAGAGAGAGAGGGGGGGGAGGGAGAGAGGGAGGGGAGGGGAGGGAGGGGAGGGGAGGGGAGGGAGGGAGAGAGGGGAGGGAGGAAGAGATATGCTAATAGCCTAATATACATCTCCTTCTTTCTCTTCCTTTATGAATATGTTGTGCATTTTATTGTGTATGTTTGATACATCTCACTTGTTTTATTTCCTCTCCTTATCACATTCAATCTAACAGGTGATCTAGGTCCTGTCTACGGGTTTCAATGGCGCCACTTTGGAGCCCAATACAGTGACATGCATTTTGATTACGATGGGCAAGGTGTAGATCAATTAGCTCAGGTCATACACACGATAAAGACCAACCCGTCTTGTCGCCGTATCATAATGTCCGCATGGAATCCTGTGGATATACCTGAGATGGCTCTGCCCCCGTGCCATGCCTTTGTGCAGTTTTATGTCAGTGATGGTGAGCTCTCGTGTCAGTTGTATCAAAGATCAGGAGATATGGTTAGGAGAGCTTTCTTTCTCTCTAAACTCTTTCTCTCTCTCCTTTAGGGTTTAGGGGTTCCTTTTAACATAGCTAGCTATTCTCTTCTTACATACATGATTGCCCATGTTTGTGATTTAAAGGTAAACCTGAAATGATAAAAATCTTATTATTATTATTTCAATCAGCCTGGGGATTTCGTTCATACACTGGGCGATGCTCACATTTATCTCAATCACATTGAGCCACTCAAGGAACAAGTGAGTATAAGAAAGATTGCAGCTTTAACTTTATGTATTAATTTCTTCCTTAGCTTACAAGAACACCACGAGCTTTCCCAACACTAACCATAGACAGGGAAGTGAAGAACATTGATGATTTTAAGTTTGAGGACTTCTCTTTGACTGGCTACAAGCCTTATCCAAAAATATCCATGGCATTAGCAGTCTGAAACATCACAGTCGTATATACTCGTGCATGCATTTTGGGTACATTTTATCTCTGATGTTGATTTGATGGCATCATCATAGTTATTTGTTATGACACTTATTGTTAATTAATTTTTTTTGAACGAATGAAAGACAACATGTTAAGAAAACACAAATTAAATTAGAATCGATAATCAAAACAAGAGGTGTGAGAAAAGGAGACCTCCACACACAATAAACACAAAATGATATCCAAGCTACGATATGGCATTCATAACAAAAAAAGCAATAATAATTGGAATAGAGTTAGAACGAGTAGGCTAAATCTAATGTAGTTCGTTATTTCAAAAGATCTTTTATTTCTGAGGTTTCAGCACAATCCAGGTAAGATACACCATCTGGAGATTTCCCGTCTTTCTTTGCTCCCTAAAGTCTCAAATAATCCCCCTGTATTGTAGTGTGAATATCAACCTTACCTTGCTAATGAGGAATTTGACACAATCAGGGTGACCCTCCCAGATGGCACATAGTAATGGTGTTATCCCGTGTGCATCAGGTAACTGCCATTAACACTGGGTTATAGGAAAGGAGAAATGAGAAGGGCTTACGTTAACGTTTGCTCCTTGTTTAACGAGGTAGTCTATGACTTCTTCCTGACCATAATCAGCTGCAAAGTGGATTGGACTCCTACCGCCAGTTATTTGTGCATTGACGTCAAACTTGCCCTGAAAGAAGGTTTCGAGTAAGGAGAAGGTTTTTAGGGTTTACCTTTTTACTATCTACGTAAGCCTTCACTTTCTCTAGCTGTCCGTTCTTCACTGACCACACAAACTCGTCAGCAGACATCTTTCCTTCTTATGGAGGATTATTTTTGCAAGTTAAAAATTAATAACTACTGGCTACCTCTAGTTAATTAACATATCACGTGACGTAAGAACCACCACCCACGTGTAGTAAACTGTAAACCGAGCTGTAAACAAGATGTCCAGGAATCGTCACGGTCGTGGATCACCTCCTCACGCTGAAGCTCATAGAGAGAAAGCAATGCGGTCCATATTTGTGGCTAACATAGCGTTTGAGACCACTGAAGATCAAATGAGAGCCGTTTTATCTGAAGTTAGTAATGAATAGGCGGGGCATGGGAGGGCCCATTTACATTATATATAATTATTATTTTTATTTATTTTAATACAGGTAGGCCCTGTCCTCTCACTAAAGCTAATTCAAGACCCTGTGTCTGGAAAGCCAAGAGGATTCGGTTTTTGTGAATACGAGGATGCAGAGACAGCTCGGAGTGCCTGTAGGAACCTAGCAGGCCGTGAGCTCAATGGCCGCCCATTAAGAATTGACAGTGCAATGAATGCACCAGGAGAGAGCTTTAGATCAGCTCCAATCCCTCAAGGACCCATTGAGCCACCACTGCACGGTCCTGCCATACCTCCAGAGAGTGCGCCCGAGTCCATCACTAAAGCCGTGGCTAGTCTACCTCCGGAGCACATGTATGAGCTGATGAAGCAAGTCAAGTGGTGCATTCAGAATAATCCACAAGAGACAAGACAGCTCTTACTTCACAACCCACAGTTGGCGTACGCGTTGCTTCAAGCTCAAGTTGTTATGAGGATCGTGGATCTAGATACAGCACAGAATCTACTTCATCGTGCTCCACGAGCCCCGCCCATCCCTTCATCAGCCCCACCCCCAAACCATCATCATCATGAAGGGGACCGATTTAGGTCACACCCGCCGATGAGAGACCCTCCCCCTGGACGAGACCCCCACAGAAGGGACTGGTATCAACCCCCCAATAGTGGCCCCTCCCATCCACCGAGAGGTGGACCCTCCCACCCTCCCCCGACTGACAACATGACTCATGAGGATCAAGAGAAGGCAGCTTTATTAATGCAAGTATTAAGTTTGACTGATGAACAGATACAAATGTTACCACCTGATCAAAGGAATAATATTTTGCGTCTTAAGGAACAGCTTTCACATGCAGCTGGACCCTAATAACAAACTCTACCTATTGTTACATTAATTGCTAAATTCCCATTTTCTCCAAAATGTTGTGCCATTGATGGCTCAAATATAAGACAGTCATTTCCTGAGATGACTTGAGATATGCCATCATGTATGCTTCTTGGCTTTGCCTCCCACGCTAGCTTGCGTCCATGACGCGAGTCAACTAGTTCTAATTTATAGCGGAATTGTTCAGCTTGTTTCTCAGTCCCGATGATCTGGACGACAGCGAAAAACTGCTGATGGCCCTCGTGCCTCTCTTGCTTCTCTAGGACTAGCATGAAGTGATGCTCAAAGCAGCATTGCATCATGACCCAGTCTACAGCTCCAGGTAAGTTGATATCAGTGGCGAGGAACACAATGTCCTCCCCGTTAAGAGTGGTAATGGTCTTGTGTGCATTTAGTAAATGATCCAGTACTTCGTCTAGACTTCCCTGCCAGCGACAAGTCGTTCCGGGGCAAGGACATGCATAGGGACGAAATTCACATGTCTCTTCGTGTTTTCTTTTCTCGTTGTGTAGAAAGCGTAGAGAGCAACCAGAGTTAGCGTACTTGCATGGAAAAAGAACTGTCTCGGCAACCTTGTCCATAGCTAGGTTACGAACACCGCTCAGTGGCCCCCTACAGGCTGGACATATCTGTGTAGCTAGTTTGGGCTGGCAGTTACTACAGACTAAGTGTCCACTGTCACACTGATGGATGGGGGGTAGGACATAATCAAAACAGACAGGGCACTCGAAAAGTGATGCCAGATCACGCGAGGAGTCAGAGGCCCCGGCCCCAATGGTGGGATATGGGAGATGAGTCATATCTGAAGAGAAGAGGAGAGATTGTGACAAGGAGAAGAGAGTGAAAGGGAATTTAATCTTACCTGATGATTGATGATATTATTGTTAATAGACAAAGGCGGAGTCTTGTTATTGTTATGATCATGTGATGTATTGGGTGGAGCTCATAAATAGATTAGCCCGGCCCACCTATTTTGGTTGCATGCAACCTGTTTTGGCAAAATTGTGCAAATGCATTGATTTTGATCTCACAGCGATTATAATAGACTAATAGTATGTAAAATGCTGTGAAGAATGAATTGGCAGTACAAAATTATAATATTAAGAAATAATAATAATCAAAAGAGAACTCAGAAAAATCTCCAAAAGGAATTTAGTCTGGGAATTTAGAAGGTGGGTTGGTCTGACACATGTCACATGATTAATTACAAAACCACATAACAACAATGGCGACAGAATCCGTCTCTGATGAATGGATGTATAACGAAGTGCTAGACGACGATATGCCCGAGGTACTGTAGCTAGGGATTAGGATAAAGACTCTCATTTCTCTCTGCACAGGTATCTGGTATGAACAGAAGAGTCAGTATCGATAGCACTGACCTTCTGGACGACGTGTTAACCTTTCCTGCCTCAGGAGGTGGGAATGGATCCAAAACAGAAGTCGATACAGAAGAAGAAGTAGATGTGAGCAAAATGGACACTTTATAATGAGTTTTAACACATGAAAACGATTAATTTTTCAGTTAAACTTACATTTCACGACAGATACCGAAAACGGATTGGCAGGGATTGAAGGTTTGCTATTTTGTTTTTTTGTGATTTTATTTTAACATTCTTCTCTGCATCATGTTTCTTTCAGTTATTTAACTTGTGTGAGAAATTGCGTTACACCAATTATTATTATTATCATTCAAAATAATTTTTTTTGTTTGGCATATCTAAATTCCTCATTCATTACTATTGTTACTTATTAATAGTTTGTTATTTTTACTATTATGACGCCCAATCATTATCTCTTATTTGTTTTAAAAATCATTTGTAAAGAGTTAATCAGTCCTTGTATATAATAAATGCTCAGTATTATTTATAAGATTTTTTAAGAAAACTATTTTGTTCAATTTTTTTGCTTGTGTTCATTGTTATTATTATTATTATTATTATTATTATCAGTATTACTTATTTTTGTTGTTTTAATTATGCTTTATGCCTATTTATTTCATTTTTGGTCTTACAAACTAACAGTTATTTAAAATTAATAATAACAATATTTAACCGATAAATCATGCCTCCTTAACAACTGTTGCCATCAAGAGAAAGTCACCCATTTCAAATATTTTTTCATTTTTGTGCTTATAATTATAATCATATGAACTAAATATAATGATTTGTTACTCATTAAAAAGTTATATTTCCTTCTCCTCCTTTGTGATATCCCTCTATGTGTGTGTGTGGTGTATGTATGTATAGATTCGCGTTCAGCCCGTTACAATGCTGAACAAGTTGCAAAGACAGTACAAGCACGCATTGAGTCAAACAAGACTTCGCAGAGCATTGGAGGAACTCATTCAAGAAGCATTTATATGCGTGATCCAAATAAAAAAAACTCCGTCTTTATTGGGAACTTGACATGGGTAAGTGAATGCAGTAGAGTACCACAGTAGCTTCATCTGAATTAAAACTCTGTGTGTGTGTGTGTTTAGTGGACTACTGATATGGATGTACTAAGTGCCGTGAGAGAAGCAGGTTTAGGCGAAGTCAAGAGCTTGAAGTTTTACGACAACAGGACGAATGGGCAGTCTAAAGGGTACTTGAGTCTCTCTTCCTCCTGTGTTATTCATTATAAGACTCTTTAGGTTTACAATGGTGGAACTGACAAGTGAAGCAGTTGCTTTGGGTGCTCCTGATAAATTACAAATGATGTACGTACATATGCTGATCATTCTCTGCCTTACTGTGTGTTCCTGTCCTCTTGTAGCACTGTTCATGGTAGGAAGCTTGTTGCAGCGTATGCTGGTCGGATGTCAGTGGCTCAGTTTGAGGCCAAGTCCTCTGGTAAAGCTGTCCCTGATAAGCAGCCACTGGTCGGGAATAAACCGCAAACTTCCTTGACTGGAAAGAATCCTCCATTATATCCCAGGCCTCCATTAGCTAGTATGTGTTTCTGTTTCTGTGTTATGACTAATGAGCTTTTTGTTCCTTTGACCAGGTGTAATGGGAGGCCTCCCTCCTCCAATTCTTCCTCCTACTCTAGTTCCTCCTGAGCTTCCGTTCAACCCTGCCTTTCCAGCTGCAGCTCTACCTCGTCCTGTAAGTCAAACCTATCATTCACTGATTTAAGAGTATATTTTTTAAATTGATTCAAAAATACACATTCATTTCATAGATATACATGTAGATAAAGTTGGAGTTGATTTTGTTAAATTGTTATATTTTATTTCTGTTATTTTTGATGCCTCGTTTATGCCTAGAGGTATCAAGAAGGTATTGTTTTTTGTTTATTTAGCCTCCATTGCCTCCAGCTGCGTTTGATCCCAGTGCCCTTGCTGCAGCTGCAGCTTTAAACAGTCAAAAACCAGGCGGAGCCCATTTAAACCCAGCCTTTCTTCAGGATCAAATGATGCAAGGGAATAATGTGGTGAGTCTCTCAGTGTTTCTTGTTATCTTTATTTGTGAGCTAATACTCTTTCTTTCAAAGGCTGAAATATTTGCCAAAGCTTTTCAAGGTCCAACGAGTCGTCCAAGTGATGAGGAAATTGCTGACGCTAATCAAAGGAATCGAGCTATCTCTAGTTCCGCAATATCACGTGCTATGTCCGACGCAAATGCAGGTACTGACTATTGAGGGTTGAATATGTAATGAATATGTAATGATAGTACATTGTGTATGCATTTGTTGTCAGCATGAATGGCATATTCTCAGTGGATTTTTATATGACTTTTCAAAGTTGCTCCAAAATTTGACAAAGCATTTAGTCAAAAAAACTAAGAAGTTTTAAGTTTTATAATTTTTCTGATACATATAGAAAGTTTGAGCTGATTCTGATTGAAATTTTGGATTTTTTTACAAGTTTTTAAAGTTGCTTCAAAATCAGACCAAAATTCCTGTACTATAGTACAGGGTCAGGTCACGGGCCAAATTTCTATAATACAGTGTCATGGGCCAAATTTCACCAGAATTGGTGTAAAATCAATTTTTAAAAAGCTATGTAGTAAAATTTCCCAGTAATTGTAACTGTGACATGTTATTTTATTTTATAGGCGATTATGAGAGTGCAATTGAGACACTTAAAATGGCAATTACACTTATCAAACAATCAATAACAGCTGGATCAGAATCATGCCAGGTAGAGAGAGGAGAAGGAAAGAGAGAGAGAGGAGAAGGGTGAGAAAGATAGAGAAACAATACAGAGAATTTGTGTTCATATTGTACTACATTGTCTCCAGATACTAATACAGTCACTAGTTGATTGCTTAAGAGGAGTAGAGCATCAGGCCAGTGGAAGCAAGTGAGTAATGATATTAAGAGAGAGAGGGACAGAGTATAAACTGCTTGTGTATAGGAGGAACAAAGTATCATCACACGATCGATATGAGTCAAGATCAAGTCGTAGCAACCACAGCAGTAGCAGTAGGAGTGGTGG